TATGGCTCTATCACAATGGTTTTATTTGTTAAGGCTATATAGCAATGGTTTTATTTCCTTAAATTTTCAGTCTGATATGGCTATACGGGGGATCTTTGAATTACACAATCATGAGAGATGGCAGCAGATTGGAGAGGCCTTCAATCCAGCAGTGGATTGACCAAGGCTGTCAATACATATTTTCTGATGGAGGTCTGACACTGAATAATATGCTTGTAACCAGATGTGGTACTTGTACAGTGGATTCATGTGTAGCTAGTAAGCAGTAGCGGACGTTATCAACTTTCTGTCGGTTATAGTTTCAGACTCTATGGGACAAACATTATTTGGTTTACAAACAATAGGTCTATACCTACTATGATCACCCAGGAATGTCTTAACGCTTGTGACGTCACTCCACATCGACCAGCCCCCCTCATTAATAATCATGAACAGGTTACGTCCGCCACATGCACCCCCCCACCTCCATTAATAACCATGAACAGGTGATGTCACTCCATATGGAGCACCCTCCCCCCTCATTAATAATGATTATAAGGTGACGTCCTCCAAATGGACACCCCCCCCCTCATTAATAATTAGCAGCTGACGTCACTCCACATGGGGGCGAGGCGCCTCCTCCCCCCTCCTGGGCGTCAACTTACAACCCTCACTACAAAGGCAGAACCCTCACGTCACGCGACCTCCGTAACGCTGTTGAGACATCAAAGTAAAAAGGACGTCACGATGAACAAGGGATTATAACCTTGAAATGAAATAATTCTGTGTCACCGCGCCCTTACAAATTGCACACGAATGGATGCAATGAATATCACGTCAAAGGTCTGTGCTTTTCGCTTGCAAGTTTCAGATGTACTGCAATACACCCGTCCTTGGACGGGCAAAAGGCGAGTTTTATATATCTCGATGTTTAGTGTGAGAATTGAAGCAAGTAAGAACTGTCGGCTGACCCTACCATAATCATGAGTGGAACCAATCACCATTTGCGGGGGAACAAATCAGATAAAAATGGATTTCGAATTTTTTTTTTTATATATATATTGGGATTATGATGATTATTTTCTCATTTCCAAGATTGAGTGGGAAAATGTGCCATATATCAGCTTGTTTTAAACGTTGTAGACCACCATTAGTCACTGAGTCACAAACAAAGATGTGTGCCGTGGATATGGGCCTGGCACGAAGGCGGTGGTACAACAGCAGCTGGACCTTGAGTCAGCACCACCCTGCTGGCCATCTGTGCCTTCCGCGTACCAACAATGAACACGTCCCGTAGCACACTGGGAAGGTGTCGCTACGCTTTGAGCCTTTCGCATTGCTTTTAAAAAGCACGTGGGCAGAGCACAACATCCGGGGAACTATTTGAACTCTTTGCGCTACTGTTTGTAATGGTCACATTTGGCAATATCACCACCCGAACATTCTCTCTCTGTCCTGCAAGCACGCACTCTGTTTTTTGCCAACGTGGATTTCTACATCACGAATGCGTCCACGAGGACGACCACCCTGGAGATGGAGCTACGACGTCGATGCATGTCCACGAGTGAGATGGACGGTAATGGCAGGAGCCCGCCGGCTCCCATCACTCTCCCTCGCCTCTTCCCCCTCGCCTGCCTGCTCGCAGGCAATTTACGGAGTGGCCTCTTTGGGACTGTGGCTGCTTCGTTGAACGCGCGCTGCTCTAACACGGACGGGGCTCCTCCTGCCTCGCCGCCGCTGCTCGTCGTGACGTCTGGATGGAGAGATCATTATCATGACTGGATCACTCGCGCTCGATACCCAACGCTTCTGTCTCCCTTCGCAGACCCAAACGTGCCCTTAAATAACCTCCCAGAGCCCAACCAACAAACACCGAGAATAAATAAACACCGAGGATGAACAAACACAGCGCTGCTGCTGCTGGAATGCCGTCGTGAGACCCCCCACCACCGCCTGCGCGCCTCGCCAATAATCCGCGACTTTTCACCCTCACACCCAGCCCCCTGGCAGCTTGATGCAATTTTACATCGTTTCTCTTTTTTTAGAATTCCAAGGTTATTAATGTATAATCACCCCCCACCACCCCCAAACTAGATTCGAATATAATTCCCTGCTGGTAGATTCGAGATCGGCGTCCAGGGCACTCGCCCGTTGTGCTTGCTGAAGCGAGCGCAGCGGAGGGCACGGCCCGACCGGCTGCGTGGCTTTGGAACGGCAGAACGCGTGGGAGGCCAGCGAGCGGGGCTGGTCAGAGGGCGCGCGACACGGCGAGAAGGTGGCCGAGAACCATGAGGTGTGGGGAGTGACAGCCGGGGGCGCGCAACGCGCCTGGGAGGGCGTCCGCCGAGGAGAGATGGAGCGAAGGAATCCGTTCGTGTGGCGCGTGCGAGGGTGGATTATTTACCCATGGCGGGGTTGTGATAGAGATTGCTTGGGGTGAGGGTGATCGTCCAGCAGTGGATTGTTCACGGCTGATGATGATCACAATGGATGATGTAGGTGCCGATGACCAAATGAGTCACCTGGAAGGCGCACAATCTCGTCAGATCTCGAAGACCAAGCAAGCTTGAGCCTGGACAGTGCTGACAACCGTGCAGACGCAGGCTGTCAGCAACGACTACGGGTCCACGACAAAAGAGGGCAGTGCAGCAGAATCCATCGTTGTACTGCACTTCTAAGCTTTGCATCTATGCGCTCGGCCTTCACCGAGCCGCACTCACGATCGCGGTGAGGTATGGTCAAAACACCCCCCCCACGACCACGCGGGGAGCCGTACTAATGCAAGACAACCGTTATATTCCTGCGACGAGACACACATGGCATTTGCCGCTGGCAATATGAGCAGCGATGGAGCCATCTCGGGGGAATTGACACGCACTCGGGTTGTTAATAAAGACACGCAGGGGCAAACTAAACAGATATCCCCCGAACATCTGGAGGTGCAGATTTGCGATTTTATAAAACCGATTTCCCGGAGTTTGAACATCAGGGGTGAATCCTGCAGCGCCTCTAGTGGCTGAGCGAGCCCATCGCGTGGGACCTTGTCTTCGCGCACGATTATCTCACTCTCGTGTGCCCAAACAACCCTTACGGCGTGGGGAGGGAGGCCTTCATCCAGCAGTGGATTGATCATGGTGGATCAATATAATTGAATTGACTGGATTGCTATCTGGGACCTACATAATTGATGATCGATGAATAATTGCACGGTCACACTCCTGGTAACCCACAAAGAGCTGGCTGCTGGGCGAAGTGCTGTTCGTGACCGCCTATTGAAGCCAGGATGGGGCACGCTGAGATGATGCACCACGCTGGGACGCCTTTGTATTGCCCGACCGCATCAGGCACTCACTGACGGCTGAGTAAAAACTGTGAGCAGACTCCGTTACCGCTTAGCTTCTGAGATCTGACGAGACTCGGGAGCTTTACGGATGACTTGGTGACGACATTGAAACAGGAAGAGAAGGCGTCGATCAGAGAACAAAGACAAAGGTCCCCCGTATAGCCTCTAACAGACTGTTGGGGCAAGTGCTGTTAGCGAGCAGCACCTATAAAGGCCGCCACGGCACACGAGGGGGTGGGTGGCCAACACCACGCCCGGCCGCCTTTGTCTCCCCAGTGGTGATGTTTACACACCACCCAAGTACTCATTCGAGGCTGAGTCGACCTAGGGGAGGCCCCGGACCGGTTAAATTACTCGTGCCACTGGTGTTGGTAGCCGTGAGCGGGAGTCGAACTCGGACCACCGGGTTCGAAGCGCAGCGTAGCGCTAACCGCTGCGCCGCACACACAGGAGACGTCACATTTATTTGAGGACAGTAAGTGCCACTGGGCCGCGGCGGACACGCCATGCCTCGAAGGGATCGTGAAGGGGTGGAGAAACACGCCCGAGAAAGTATTCCGGAGATGGAGCGATGAAAACCAGTTCTACGTTCCGGTGGTGCAGTGGATTGTGGGTGGCATCGCGGGACCTGCGAGCGATGGGGGGCCGGCGTGGGGGAGGCCTCCATCCAGCAGTGGATGGACCACGTCCGACGGTGATGATGATGGTTGTGTCATGAGGGGTGGTTGTTGTGCGTGGCTGTCGGATTTGTGTTGGTGCTCTGCTTGGGGAGCTGAGCCCACAGTCACGCTCACCGCCTGTTCACTGTGCCGAGAGAAGTGGCACTCGCTATTTCCAGTCAGTGCAAGCGCCAGGCTAATCATGATGATGATGATCATCATTATTATAATACTACCACGTTCGTTATTCCCGTATTCTCGGCGTCATACGACGCTGTTCAGGAAAGTAAGACGCTCTCCACACTGGCATTGTGCCCGGTGTACATGCAGCTAGTATAAATCTGGGCACACACACACACCTAGCCGGTTATGAGTTGAACCCCCAACTCTTGTGCAAAATACAGGGCCAAAAGGTGCGTCTTACAATCCGGAAAATATGGTATTAAGTGTTTTATTATCGAGGGCTAAATCGCCCTTTGAGCATGCGCGCCCGATCTCGCCGGACCTCGGAAGCTCAGCAGTTATTTGAACCTGGATGGTGCTTGGCTAGGTGCTCAATACCAGGCATAACAGGTGTTATAGGCTGCGGTGTGGCCATGCGGTGGGCAGCAGAGGACGCTGCAACATCTATTGCACTGTGGTCTGCTCTCACGTCCACGCTCCACCTCCACCGAGGCGCACCAACATGCAGCGGGGGTGAAGACCCGCGAGGTGTGGGGAGGCCCTCATCCAGCAGTGGAGTGGCACGAGGGCTGAGGGGAGGCGGATTGTGACGGCGCGCGGTGCTAATGTTGGCACACCGCTGATAGCAGCAGCAGCAACATCAACAACAACAGCAACATCAACAACAGCAACATCAACAACAGCAACATCAACAACAGCAACAGCAGCAGCAACAACAACAGCAGCAGCAACAACAACAACAGCAGCAACATCAACAACAGCAACAACATCAACAACATCAACAACAGCAGCAACATCAACAACAGCAGCAACATCAACAACAGCAACAACAGCAGCAACATCAACAACAGCAGCAACATCAACAACGTCAACACCAGCATCACCAAAGCGAGCTGGCGCCAGTGAGCGGCATCACTCGAGCGCCACGGGACACGGAGCGCAGTTCCAACCGCAGCGGCAGTCCTCCTCCTCCATCGCCTCTCTCACCCCCTCACCTATCCCCGTCACCAGGACACCTGCCTCCCCTCACCTCTCTCTCTCTCTCTCGCCGCCCCTCAGCTGCTCACCTGCCTCCCGCGCGTGCTCGCCTCTCATCCCGCCATCTGCCCCCTCCCCTCACCTGCGCCCCTCCTCGCCTCGTTTTCTCCCCGCCTCTCTCCTCTGCCCTCTCCTCCTCCCTCCGCTTCCCTCCTCCTCTCCGCGCCTCTGGCAGGGGCCACATTCGACAGCCGAGCGCGCCGCGTAAGTGCCGCCTCCTCCTCCTCGCCAATTGTCTCCTCGCCCACCCGCGTCTCCCTCGCAGCGAAACCTCCATCGGCGTCTCCCCTCACCTGCCCGCTCGACCCGAGCGTCTCCCCTGCGAGGTCGCCCTCGCCTCGCCCCAGCCGGACCGTGCTGGGTACCGGCGGCCGGACGCCGATCGCTCGCCTCTGGGCGCGTTGCTGCGCCAGGATGCCGGGCACGGGCTAGCAGCAGGGAGCTAGAGCAGCCGTGTGGCCACGGGGCTGGGTGCTGCAGGGGAGTTGCGGGGAGCCGGGGGAGTGGGTGGGGGGGCCCTGGGAGCTGAGTGACGACGACTCGCGGGGCGATGCGCGGCGTGGAGGCGCGGACAGAGCAGCGATGCGACCACGACAGCCTCCGGCACCATCACCACCGCCACCACCTGCTGCTGCGCCGGTACACGTGTGAGTGTGTGCGTGACTGTGTGTGTGACTGTGTGTGAGTGTGTGAGTGTGTGCGTGACTGTGTGTGAGTGTGTGCGCGACTGTGTGTGTGAGTGTGTGCGCGACTGTGTGTGTGAGTGTGTGCGCGACTGTGTGTGTGAGTGTGTGCGCGACTGTGTGTGTGTGAGTGTGTGCGCGACTGTGTGTGTGTGACTGTGTGTGAGTGTGTGAGTGTGTGCGTGACTGTGTGTGTGAGTGTGTGCGCGACTGTGTGTGTGAGTGTGTGCGCGACTGTGTGTGTGTGAGTGTGTGCGCGACTGTGTGTGTGTGAGTGTGTGCGCGACTGTGTGTGTGTGAGTGTGTGTGCGCGACTGTGTGTGTGTGTGCGCGACTGTGTGTGTGTGAGTGTGTGCGCGACTGTGTGTGTGTGTGTGCGCGACTGTGTGTGTGAGTGCGTGCGCGACTGTGTGTGTGCGAGTGTGATAGTGTGTGTGAGTGTGTGCGAGTGTGATAGTGTGTGTGATAGTGTGTGTGCGAGTGTGATAGTGTGTGTGCGAGTGTGTGTGCGAGTGTGATAGTGTGTGTGCGAGTGTGATAGTGTGTGTGCGAGTGAGTGTGTGTGCGAGTGTGATAGTGTGTGTGCGAGTGTGATAGTGTGTGTGCGAGTGTGCGTGCGAGTGTGTGTGAGTGTGCGAGTGTGATAGTGTGTGTGCGAGTGAGTGTGTGTGAGTGTGTGCGAGTGTGATAATGTGTGTGCGAGTGTGATAGTGTGTGTGCGAGTGTGTGTGAATGTGCGAGTGTGATAGTGTGTGTGCGAGTGAGTGTGTGTGAGTGTGTGCGAGTGTGATAGTGTGTGTGTGCGAGTGTGTGTGTGCGAGTGTGATAGTGTGTGTGAGTGTGTGCGAGTGTGATAGTGTGTGTGCGAGTGTGTGTGCGAGTGTGATAGTGTGTGTGTGTGTGCGAGTGTGTGTGCGAGTGTGTGCGAGTGTGTGTGCGAGTGTGATAGTGTGTGTGCGAGTGTGATAGTGTGTGTGCGAGTGTGATAGTGTGTGAGTGTGATAGTGTGTGCGAGTGTGTGTGAGTGTGCGTGTGCGAGTGAGTGTGTGAGTGTGCGTGTGCGAGTGAGTGTGCGAGTGAGTGTGTGAGAGTGTGTGTACGAGTGTGATAGTGTGTGTGCGAGTGTGATAGTGTGTGAGTGTGCGTGTGTGTGAGAGAGTGAGTGTGCGAGTGTGATAGTGAGTGTGTGAGTGTGCGTGTGCTGGAGCGGTCTCGCAGCGGTTCGGGAACTGCACTATGAACCCCGGCGAGACGAGTTCGATTCCCGGTCACAGCCAACATCGGTGAAGATTAACCAGTCCTAGGCCTCCCCTAGGTCGACTCAGCCTCAAATGAGTACCTGGTGCGGTGTGTAAACATCGCCACTAGGGAGACAAAGGCGGAAGGGCGTTGTGCTGGCCACCCACCCCATCGTGTTACCGTAGAGGTCTTCATAGGTGCTACTCGCTAAGAGCACTTACCCCAACAGTCTGTTCAGGCTATGCGGGGGGTCTTTGTCTTTGTGGCGAGTGTTTTATGTTGGTGTCTGTTGTGTGTTGCCGTGTCGGTCTGTGTGATGGAGTGTGTTGTGTATGTGTGTTTGTTGCCGCGTGTGTGTTCTGAATGTGTGTTGACGTGTCGGTCTGTGTGATGGAGTGTGTTGTGTCTGTGGTGGGGAGCGGTAGTGTAGCGGTTAGCGCGCTGCGCTATGAACGCGGCAGCCCGAGTTCGATTCCCGCTCACGGCCAACACCGGTGACGATTATCTGAACTTGTCCCGGGCCTCCCCTAGGTCGACTCAGCCTCAAATGAGTACCTGATGCGGTGTGTAAACATTGCCACTAGGGAGACAAAGGCGGTCGGGCGTGGTGCTGGCCACCCACCCCCTCGTGTACCGATCCGGCCTTCATAGGTGCTCGCTAACAGCATTTGCCCCTACAGTCTGTTAAGGCTACACGGGGGATCTTTGTGTCTGTGTGTCTGTGTGTTTGTTGCTGCGTGTGTGTTCTGAATGTGTGTTGACGTGTCGGTCTGTGTGATGGAGTGTGTTGTGTCTGTGTGTTTGTTGCCGCGTGTGTGTTCTGAATGTGTGTTGCCGCGTGTGGACTTGTGTTTGACCCGAGTTCCCATTCCCGCACACGGCCAACAACTTGGTCCTGGGCCTCCCCTAGATCGACTCAGCCGTAAATGAGTGTAAACATCGCCATTGGGGAGACAAAGACGGCCGGGCGTGGTGCTGGCCACTCACTACAATCTGCTAAGACTACATGGGGGATCTTTGTCTTTCGTTACTCATAACGGGCAGCCGTGGAGCAGTGATTAGCAGACAGCGCTGCAGCGAACCCAGCGACCCGAGTTCAACTCACTGCCAACAGTCTACCTGGCCGCGGTCTGTAAACATCAACCACTTGGGAGACAAAGGTGGCCGGGCGTGGTGCCAGCGTTCGGAGTGTGTTGTGCCTGTGTTGACGTGCTCGCTAACAGCACTGTCAAGGCTATACGGGGGATCTGTGTATTCGTGAGTGCATGCATTGTGTTCAACTCGTCAATTATAAAAAAAAATCAGCGACTCTTTAAACATGTCTCTCGCTTCTTCTTCTTTGTGGCACGCGACTGTCCCGCAGAGGCTGCGTTGAGGCAACATGTCAACAGCTGGCGGCTTCCTGCCCGAGAGCTGTCCCGGCCAGAACAACAACAACAGCAGCAGCCTGTCTCATCACCTCGCGCACAGCTACGACAGCGAGGGCGGCAAGTACGAGTCGGTGAGGCTGCCGCTCAGACAAAGGGCCGTCCGGGTTCGACACCGGATCGAGGCCTGCTTCTTCTCCACCGGCTGCGCCACGCTGGGTGTCACCATCGTGCTCATTGGCATCACGGTGACCATCATCGGCTACTGGCCCAAGTACGACCACACGGCGAGCACCAATGGCTCTTCCTTCCTGGCCGAGAGCAACAACAACAACAGCAGCAGCAGCAACAACAACAGCAGCAGCATCAATAGCAGCAGCAGCAACAGCAGCAGAGGAGACGGCAGCGGTGGCGTCAACGACAACACCACGGGCTTGGAGGGGCAGACGAGAGGCAGCGAGGTCGTGGGCCTGCTGGATCAGCAGCTCTACCTCTACGTCGTCAAGATCCTGGGCCCGCTCACCATGGGGATCGGTATCTTCGTGTTCATCTGCGGCATCGCGGCGCTGTACGAAAACCGGGAGAAAGACATCAAGGGCATCACGCTGAGGGACATCCAGCTGTCGGAGCAGAAGCCGCACGTCCAGACGAGCGTGAGCACCAGCAACCTGTCCCGAAGTTTCTCGAGCTGCTACGAGCAGGACACGAAGAGCCAGGAGCAGCCGGCGGAGAAGCCCACGCCGAACTTCTACATGCTGTTCCCCTGGACGGCGAGCGGGATGGGCTCGTCGGAAGATTCGGAGCGCGAGGTCGCGGCGCAGCATCACTTTAAGTTTCTCCAAGCGCCCTTCAACACCATGCTATCCACGTCGCTGCTCATCATCTCCGAGATGTGTCTCGGCAGCCCGTTCAAGAGCAAGCCCTCCGAGAAACTGGAGATATTCCACGGCAAGTCCAGCCTCTCGTCCTCCATCACCACCCTGTCGCTGCCCATCATCAAACTCAACAACTGCGTCATCGACGACCCGGAGGAGCCGGAAGCGGGTGCCGACAAGCTGGAGGGGGCCGACCCCGAGGCGATCTCCATAGCAGGACCTGAATTTCCGACCGCCCCGAGACTGCAATGCTCCAACACGCTCTCCCTGCCGGTCGGCGAGGACCCTCTGATCGAGAGCTACGAAGCCCGCTCGTACATGGCGAGCCTTCACAACGACGCCGCCGCCGCCGCCGCCGCCTCCTCCTCCTCCTCGGCGTGCTCCAGCAAGGCCCCGGGCACCGCACACCTCCTGCTGCCAGCCCAGCAGGACCTGTCTCCGGACCTCGGCAGGAGGTCGCAGACGGTGACCATCACGGTGGGGCACGGCAAGAACTTCTACGGCTCGTCCAAAAACTGCGCGCGCTGGACGAAGGGCGGCGGGCGCGTGGACGCCGTGGACCGGCTGGCGGTGCCCGAGCCCAAGGCTCAGTACACGAACAAGGAGAAGCTGCTCATGATCTCCAAGTTCGCGCACAACTCCAGCTTCGACGATGACCCTTGCGACGTGCCCGGCTCGCTGGAAATGGATTTCTAAAGGCGGACGGATGGTCACCGACGGTCGACTCTCCACGACGAGACGGTCGCGCTACGTTGCCGCGGTGCAACGGGTCAGCGCAGCGGACTTGCGACCCAGAGGTCGCCACTTCGATCGGTCTCCCAGCGTGGCGGTTAAAGCAAATACCCCCTGCCTCTGTGCACCCCAAAGCGTTACGCGTGGGTTCATCACGGTTGATCGATCGGCGAGTCACATACGGTGGGGTAAATTGTGGGTAGTCCCACCTCTTCCGAGACGTCTGGCCAGCGTGGAAGAGTAGGCCAAAATTCCCTCCAGCGGGGGCTCTTCTACTTTCCCTCGAGCAAAGGCCCTTCCGCCAGCAATGGTGAGAGCGAGCAGTTGCAGGGGTATGCCTTTAACCTTTTGATGAGAGATTTTACTTGACTGAAAAAAATCCATGTATGTACATTCTGAAGATAGCGTTTATATATATACGTCTCAACTCAAGCAGTGCCAATACTTTGTAACACACTTTGTACGTTTCCGGTGCATGGGGCCTGTAACTTAAAACTGGGCGCTGCATCACACAGGATATGTTTGTAACTACCACCGTCATATTTTTTGTATATCTTGACCGCCAGTATTTGAGATCGCAGCATTTGAGTGGGGTGCCATTACACTAATGCGCCGTTAGCGACACATTTTGTGATTTGGAATTTTGTACTGCGATTATTGTAACAGCCGTTTTGACGGTGCATGTTTAGATATCTGTATTTTTTTTAAGTGAAGTTTCCCGTGGGAGGTTTGTACATTTCGGTACAATTGGACATTTTGTTCAGCCAACTGCTCCTCTTGACGAGACGACATGGCACCAGTTGGGTTCAACATTAACCTTTCCACCAACATCCCAGTGGCTTAAAACGTGATTGACACGGGCCCTTTCCGCCCCGTAGGCTCCCGGTGCAGCTGCACCGTCTGCACACTCAATATCTAGGCCACTGCTAAAAGCCGTTCGGACGCAGCTGCCGATGAGTGGCTTGCGTTTGTTTTTCCAACAGCTGAACGATGACCTGTGACAGTAACATCTGCATCCACGTGCGCAAACGTCCGTCATCTTAAAACTGTATTCTCTTCACGTTTTGGGTTTTTCTTCCCCCTCCCCCCCCCCAGAGTGCGTATCGCCGTGTCCACTCGAGTCAGCGGACAGCGCTGCGCTGTGAGAGGGTTAAGGCTATTTGCTACGAAACGTGAACAGTAATCGAGCATAATTACATAAACTCGTGTAATCGCATCTCGTGGGCACTGAATAATTCATGTCGCCCAAAGTGAATGCTTTTCATCGCCGCATGCTTCATTAGTTCACGTAATAAATGCGACCTTTACGGCGATCTTTACGCACCCTGTGAGCCACAGCGCTTCTTCGTAAGCGCCGACAGTTCTTTATCCGGCAGCGCACCGCAAGGCCTGTTTTTTTTGTTTCCATTTTGTACATTGTAAATAAAAGGAAGCCCTCTCCTACCAACATCGATTCACATTCATCGCTGATGCGATGCGGCAGCAGCAGCAGAAACTCCAAACGAGTGCACCTTTAGGTGCTCGAGAGAGGCAGGATAAATATGGATTTGGTGTCGTAAACATGGGTAGAGAATTCGCGAGAAACGGCCCCCACCCCTGTCCCATACCAGAGACATCGGCCCACGTTCTCACAGTGAGCCAGCGGCATCTGCTCACCACGGCGCTTAAGAGGAACGGTGAGGGTCGTCGTGGAGCTGCGGCCCCCCCCATCCCACCAACGACCCCCACCACAGCCCAGGACTGTATCCGGAGGAAGGCGCGAGGCCTGAAGAGGAAGGGGGCGAGGCCTACAGACGAAGGGTCGGGGCCTACAGAGGAAGGGTCGGGGCCTACAGAGGAAGGGTCGGGGCCTACAGAGGAAGGGTCGGGGCCTACAGACGAAGGGTCGGGGCCTACAGAGGAAGGGTCGGGGCCTACAGAGGAAGGGTCGGGGCCTACATAGGAAGGGTTGGGGCCTACAGACGAAGGGTCGGGGCCTACAGAGGAAGGGTCGGGGCCTACAGACGAAGGGTCAGGGCCTACAGAGGAAGGGTCGGGGCCTACAGAGGAAGGGTCGGGGCCTACAGACGAAGGGTCAGGGCCTACAGAGGAAGGGTCGGGGCCTACAGAGGAAGGGTCGGGGCCTACAGACGAAGGGTCAGGGCCTACAGAGGAAGGGTCGGGGCCTACAGAGGAAGGGTCGGGGCCTACAAGGGCTGTCGACTTCGCTGCTGACTTCAGAATAGAAGCACAGAATCAAGACGCGTGCGCCACGTGGCAGCAGCGCAGTTTTAGTGTCGCAGATGCGACCACAGGCCGCCCGCTCAGCCGCTGTGATCCGCTCTGGAGCGTAAGCCACATCGTCACATTCACCGATTTTTCAACCCAGACGAGCGCGTGGACGGAGGAGGCTGTCGAACACGGGAGCGGGCTACCCGGCGTGTTTTTCAGCTCTCGCCGCGCGTGCCGTTTCGGCGACGACATCTGACGTTTTAGCATCCACGTGCTTCCCAGCACTCGGGAGAAAAACGTCGGACTTCGTGTCGAAGCAACGCGACACAAAAACCAGATCGGAGAGCTGCGCTACCGCCACAGCGAAACCGAGAAAACCTTCGTAGAGAGGGGGGTGGTTGGAGGGAGAGAGTTCAACCTCCGTCTAGAGCAGCTCCTCCCAATGCCATCATTCAGGCGCCTCCACTCAACGACCCTCCAGCTGTCTGTCATCACTGCACTGGCACAAACCCATTCCTCATTGCTGAGTTCACGCGTTTCTCCGCTTGCTGGTTTTTTTCCTCCTCTCGTGGAAACATTTGGTAATCGCTAACAGCTGCGCCGACCGCCAGGGGCTGAGAAACTCTAACGACACCTCCCGCTCAACTGCATCGATGTTGACAGCTCCGCCCAACGCAGTAGTCGGGCGCTGAAATGCCACAATTTATATCGCGTGGCAATGCAAAGGGTTTGGCCTCGATCACCAGCGAACGGAATGTTATTGACGCACACACACCACACATGCACGAGACCAACGCAATGCCCCGTTTGCAGGAATAATGAATAAAGATGCAAACCGCATGTGCTGTGGTTTCATTAGTGGAAGCTTACAGCAGAGCGGTTCACATCCATCGTCGTAGTCGTCAGCCACGGTCAATCCACTGCTGGATGAAGACCTCCCTAAGCCGCTGCCGCCACCGCCGCCACCTCTCGCAATACTGCTGCGATGTAATAATCCACCTAGCACATGCACACGAGCCGATTTCACCGCTCCGTCTCCCGGGGGGGACGCTTCCGTCCATATCCCATCCCTTAGCTGCCACTCTGTCATTCGTCTTGACTACCGGCTGTCGCCCCTTCTGTCCACGAGGCCTGCCCAAGCTCTCTCAGCCTTATTCCTGACCCTTCTGATGCCGCCTGCGTTCTCTAATCCCGTCTCTCGATGTGCACATCCCAAGCATGAACCTCTCGACGCTTCGTTGCGCGCTTTTCATATTATTTTCCATTTTTATTTGTGACTGACCCAAGTTACGCGAATCATGTCACAGCAGGTAGTGCGTATGCTTCCACACATTCAAACACACCGCAGGTGGTCTGCATGCGTATTCGCTCCCGCAAGCAGTGGGGGTGGGGGGTATTTTGCTCTAGTAAAATAAACGAACGCAGTGCCGGGTGGGCTAAAACCCAGCGAGTTTGCACAGTGGGGAGCACAGTGGGGAGCACAGGTGATGCATCTGTCAGTCATCTCAGTCAGTCAACCCATACCACCTGGGTCTGCCCCGCGACTGACCTCATGGCGACGAGCCTTCCACATTTCCCATGGCCTCAAAGTGCACCTAGCCTGGCACAGACGCTTTGGTCATGTTACCGTCACTTAGTGGTGAATGACGGCTACTGCTGCTGGTTTTTATTTATCGCACACATTGAACTAAGCCAAACAAAAACAGCGTTGTAAAGAGCTGGCGAATAAAGAAGCGGAGTGCACGTGGTGTTTTTATTTGTGGACGCATACCCTCCCTGCCGTGACAGTAAAGAATCGCGCTCATTAGTGGATGACTGAAAAGTGCGCAAAGAAGCAACGGAGCGACGCAACGCTGAGAATTTTAATTTGTGGAATTGTTGTACGGTACTCGGTGATTTTTGGTCATCTTCTGTGAAATGTGGCGGGCGCGTCGATGTCATCGTGCACCCCCGCCTCGACAATTACCCCACTTACACCGCTCGGCTCAGCACTCGATATGGGAGCGTTTATTAAATCCTCACACAATACGCACTTGTAAAGCTTGTAACCCTAACTTTCATGTAGCACTTAATCCGGAATTCTTACTAATTACACGCTGAGCATAAACACTACATTCCGGCCTGTGTCAATACACTACGAAGACTTCCTTAGACTGCAGACAAGCCCCCTTCCTAGGGGTCCCGCTGACAAAACTCCCAAGCGAGCCCCCTTCCTAGGGGTCCCTGCTGACAAAGCTCCAAAGCGAGCCCCCTTCCTCGGGGTCCCTGCTGACAAAGCTCCCAAGAGAGCCCCCTTCCGAGGGGTCCCTGCTGACAAAGCTCCCAAGAGAGCCCCCTTTCTAGGGGTCCCGCTGACAATGCTCCCAAGAGTGCCCCCTTCCGAGGGGTCCCGCTCACAATGCTCCCAAGAGTGCCCCCTTCCGAGGGGTCCCTGCTGACAAAGCTCCCAAGAGAGCCCCCTTCCTCGGGGTCCCGCTTACAAAGCTCCCAAGCGAGCCCCCTTCCTAGGGGTCCTGCTGACGAAGCTCCCAAGCGAGCCCCCTTCCTAGGGGTCCTGCTGACGAAGCTCCCAAGCGAGCCCCCTTCCTAGGGGCCCTGTTGACGAAGCTCCAACGCGAGCCCCCTTTCTCTTCCCAAGTCGCAAGAGTCACGGTCGATCTGCTGCAGCCACGAGGCTTTGGCTGCCCCTCGGCCTCCTGCTCATCCACGCACGAGGTACCCCAGCTCTGAGAACCCGGAGGGCAGCGTCAGCCAAGGGGAAGCGAGGCGCCGCGTGATCACGGTGCCGTTGTCGGCGTTCATGTGTCGCGTAGATCGCAAGCTTCGCCTTTGTGCCCCGCAGTAGCAGCCTCAGGTTAGACGCAAAGCCCTTCCCGTCGGCGACGCAAGATTCTGCAGAGGCCTGGCAACAAAGGAGTCTGCGCGTGCGTCCGCGTGTCGGCTCGGTCGCGCACGGTTCCTTGCACGGCTCTCTTTATACTCTCCGTATCATTAACGGAGAGTGCCGCACTGATTTCTCAGCATGTCTGTCCCTCGACATCAAACGACCATTCACGCCTCTAATGCAGCTCTGCAGGACGATCTTTCTCAGCCACCTCCTCCGTGATTCCCCACGCTATATTCGGCGCGTCTGCCGCTCGCAGCGACCATCTCGGAGATTCATGCAACGTCCTCTGCTTTAAAAAGGGCGACGCTCCTGCCGGAAGTTGCACCGCTAATGAGTAGTTCCCATGCCTCGGTAGCCAAGCGTAATAATTAGCTGCTTAACCCATCGGAATCATTATTTTAAAACATATTTCAGTTGAAATCACTTTCCATGATCGCGTCTCTCACCACTCTCCATCTGCATAAATCGTAGTCGTGAGGGCGAAGGTTTTAATGACTATAATCACTCGAATTGTAAGTGCTGTACCGTTGTGTGATTTTTTTTCCCCACGTGGGGAGGGATTCTAAGCAGCAGAAACAAAACTACATCCGTACCATCCAGTGTGGACCAGGGCGCTGCGGAATCCCCAATTAGATTCTTACCCATTCTCAAGGCACGTGCGTAAAACAACACATCACGTTAATAGGACCTCATTACACTGTTGCTGAGCCTGCGTTTTATTTATACATTTCAAAGGCTTCTGCTGGGAGAATATAAACCGACTTGCCAATGAGCATGAATCTCATTTGCTGTTCTTTCAGCTCCCAAGGGGGACGGCCTTGTTTTTGAAAATCATGATAATTTCTGAATAACTGTGTATTTGAAGATTTGGCAGAAGTGAGACATTATAATTGCTCTACGTGGAGACTTTTGTTGGGGGTATTTTGAATAACCACTCTCAAGTTCAGTTCCAATCCCTCGTTATTTTCCCAACGTTATCTCGATTGTGCTCTGGGCATCTCAAGTCATGAGCCAAAGAAGCTATTGAAATTAAACTATAAATAATTCATATTCTTGGTTCTTTCGGTAAAGTCACGTAGAAGGGAAGCAATCAAATAATAAAATATAAAACAATAAAATTCTCACGACGTTTCGTCTGCAACACAAGAAATCATCATCAGGTGTGAAAAACACAGCAAGAATTTTTTTTCAAATTTTCTTGCTGTGAAAACAGCACCTGATGATTGCTTGTGTTGCAGTCGAAACGTCTTGATAATTTTATTGTTTTATATTTTTATTCTTTTATTATTTCCCTTCTACGTGACGTTACCGAAAGAACCAAGAATGCGAATCTCTGCAGTCACGAAAGC